TAAATTTTCTTTCATGGGCGTTGTCTCCCAACACCCCGAAATTTAAACTCATCCTATAATAAATCATAGACTCATCACTCTTAAAACAATCATTACTATTATCAAAAAAAATTACGTTATCTTTTAATGTATATTCGGCCCCACAATGATATAATCCTGACGTCACCACTGATTGTAGAAGATCTTCTAGAATCTTCATCTTAATTTAGAGATTCTTAGAGGATTATAGAAGATCTTCTAGAATCATCATTTATATATAATTGGTAGAAAATCATAGGAATAGATCAAGATGATCACCATCGTCCATTGAGGATGTGAAATTGTATAAATAGGGATAACCTCATTCGTTTATATAAACATGTGATAGAGTCAATTGACATTGAAAATTTTAATTATACTAACTGAGAACACAACACCATTTTCACTGAACAAGTTTTATTGTTTCAGAAATCATCAAATGACAATATATACGGTATATTAAAACATAAACGGATGAGCCGTTTATTGGCGTTAATCGGATTCCAACCACTAAGTGACGTGTGTACTTTAAGTTCCCCTCTCTCTCATTATACCGGGATTGAATTAAGTCTTAGAATGCAAAAAAAAAATTTCCAAGTCATCAGATGAATAAAAAAATTCCAAACCTCAATTTCAGATATTAAAAAGGCAATATATTATTCATCAAACTCCTCTAATACTTTATATACAACATTGTGCATATTACATAAATTAATCTACTATACATCATATAAATTTACAATCTATATATAATATAAAAAGAGGATCTATGCCTTCAATGATTGACATGTGGCAAATTATGATGTCATTTATCGAAATTGCTTAGTTGGAGTTCAATTGATGAGGTGGATTCTTCAATTGGTGAGTTGTCAATTTTATTTTGGTATGTATTTAAGTTATTTTCTATTTAACATATATACACTCATTTAAACAATTACCACGTGTATATATATTATTTCTTTTTTTTTTTTGAGGAAAAAACGCGATTTTATTAGGCTATACTAGCCAAATCCGAAGGCAAAACAGGGCCCTCATTACAGCTGGAGTCATAGTTTGTTGCCAGAGCGTGGGCAAGCATATTGCCCGAACGCTTAACAAAAGAAAATGAACAAGAATTAAAATATCTAGCAATACGATGGCCTTCTTCGACAAACGCTCCATAAGAGGTATGCGATTGGGATATATCCTGCAGGGTGTTGATAACTTGAAGATTATCTCCTTCGATCACTACCGTTGCCACACTCATATTTTTGGCCTTCACTAATGCAAACAATGCAGCATGTGCCTCGCCCTCGATAGGTAGTGGATGACCTAGAATCTTCTTAGTACTCCACCATAGACATTTCCCATTGTAATCTCTAGCAATATTTGCCATGACATAGTGATTTCCACCCCGTGGAAAAGCTACGTCGAAATTTACTTTCACACAGCCGAACTCAGGCGGTTTCCAAGAAGCCGGGTGGAAGGGTATTATACCATGTAAGTCCTTGGTACATATCTGTTGGAACATCGAGAGGTAAGTCCTGCACCAATTCACAAGATCACCCAGCAAAATATCTTTCTCTCCATGAAGTTTCTTATTCCGTAATTCCCAAATCTTCCACATCACCATCACCGCTAAGCTAAACTCTGTCGGCTCCAATTTTTTATGCAATAATTCTATCCATAGCCAGCTCGTAGTTGGATTAGTGTCTTCAATAATATCAAAAGGTGGGCGTCTCCAAATAGCCTTGATTCTGCAGCAAGAAATCAAGGCATGCAAGCTCGTTTCCTCGACACCGCATCCCTCTGGACAAAAAGGTTCTGCCATAATTTTCCGACGAAAAAGTTCGACTTTCGTGGGCAATATATTTGAGCAGAATCGCCAAAGAAAAATTTTGGCTTTCGGGGGTATCGGGAGATTCCACACAAGTTTCCACCTTTGGCTCGTCGTTCCACTAGCAGCTCCGCCACCAGCCATTATTGCCGGCTTCCTTGTGACAAGCATGTGATAGCAAGATTTAACTGAAAACTTCCCATCTTTAGTTCCATGCCACATCCATCTGTCTGCCACTACCAAGTTACCAATTGGAAGCGCCAAAATCCGTTCTTTATCGAAAGGCCAGAACCATTGGTCGAGTAACTCCAAATCCCACGTTCTCGAACCCTGGTCAATAAGGTCTGAAACCCTATCCGGAAATGAGGAGAACTTTGGTCGAGGTGTGAGAATCTTACGACTCCCATCCTCAGCTAACCAAGGGTCTGCCCAAATGGAGGTTGTTTTCCCATCGCTGATTCTTTTCCGAATACCCAAAGCCAGCGCTTCCCTAGCCATCCAAATACTTCGCCATGTTGCCGACGGTCGGTTGCCAAGGTCAGCCGTAAACAAACTCCCATTCGAAAAATATCTTGCTCGAAAAATTTGCGAGAGCAAAAGGTTTGGCTGAGTGAAAATACGCCAAGCTTGCTTTGCAACTAAAGCCTTATTAAAGCACACCAAATCCCGAAATCCCAGCCCACCATCAGTTTTGGATCTGCACATCACATCCCATTTAACCCACGCCATTCCCCGGTCGTCACCTTTCCCCCACCAATATCTTCGAATCGCCGCCTCGAACTCACGAATCAGGCCAATTGGTAGCATGAAGCAGCTCATAATGTAGGACGGGATAGCTTGCCGAATAGCTTTGATAAGCACCTCTTTCCCTGCCTTGGATAGCTGTTTGGCGCTCCACCCTTTTATTTTTGTCCAAATCCGATCTCTAAGGAAGCTGAAAATCTCTTTTCTCGTTTTTCCCATTGTCACTGGCATCCCAAGGTATTTCTCGTGTCGTTCTACAACTTGAAATCCAAGAATATGATGAAGTACCTCTTTCTTGTCTGGTAAAGTCGATGGGCAAAAGTACATCGTGGATTTCTGGAGGTTAATTTCCTGGCCCGACGTTCTCGCATATTTTGCCAGGATATTTTTCAAAGAGGTCGCAGAGGATTCAGTCGCCTGGCAAAATACGAATGTATCATCCGCAAAACAGAGGTTAGACACCACTGGAGCTAATGGGGCAACCTAAATGCCTTGAATCGCCCCACTTCGACTAGCGGTCTGGATCATCGCGATCAACACTTCTGCACAGCAAATGAAAAGATATGGAGAAAGGGGGTCTCCTTGACGAAGACCCCGGGCTGGCTGCAAATACCCAAATTGAGAACCATTAAATAGAAAAGAATATGAAACACTAGAAACACACATCATAACTAGCTCAACAAAAGAATGAGGAAGCCCTAATCGACAAAGAACTTTTCTTAAGAACATCCATTCAATCCGATCGTATGCTTTACTGATGTCAAGTTTAATTGCCATGTAATTAGTTTTACGATTAGAGTTCGCTTTAATAAAGTGATTCAACTCATAAGCAACTAAGACATTATCTGTTATGAGCCGCCTAGGGACAAAAGCAGACTGGGTTGGGCAAATAATCTCATCCAAAAAAGGTTTAAGCCGATTAGCTAGAGTTTTAGAGCCGAGTTTATAAATGACATTACAAAGACTAATGGGGCGGTAATCTGTCATTTTTTCCGGTTTGGGAATTTTAGGGATAAGAACAATAAAAGTTGAATTAAGATCACGTGGGAGTTTTTTATGGTTTAAAAAATCAAGAACACACGAGATAACATCAGAACCTATGATATGCCAATATCTAGTGAAGAAAATAACTGGAAGGCCATCGGGGCCAAGAGATTTAAGTGGGGCCATTTGAGACAAAGCATGAGTTACCTCGACTTCAGTGAAAGGCTTAGAAAGATCACGTCTCGCTTCCTCCGAAACCCTAGCCTCATTGTGCTGCATAACCTCGTCTATCTCATCTGTTTCCGGATTTATGGAAGTGAACAACTGACCAAAATATGAGCTGATAATCTCTTGAATATCTTCTTTCTTATCTTTCCAAATACCTTCTTTATTCCGAATCTTATGGACTTTATTAATCCGATTCCTGTCTGTAGCACGAGTATGGAAATATTTCGTGTTTTTATCCCCATCTTTAATCCACTGAATCTTGCTACGCTGCCGCCAATATGTATCATTATCAATGTACAGCCTTTCCAATTCCTCTTGGAGAGTTCGAATCTCTTCACTGATCTCAGCAGTACGGGCCTCTGTATGAAGAGCATGTAACCTTTTTTGAATCTCTTCTATAGCTTTTTTAGGCTGATTCCACACAGTCTTCTTCCATGACATCAAAGCTAGGCGACAACCCTCTCGTTTCTCTAGGACATCGTGAATAGGGTCGATCCCCGTTGAATTTTCCCAAGCTTTTCGGATAATGTCTTCACACTCTTCTCTTCGAATCCACATCGCCTCAAATCGAAAGGGGCGGTTTGAGTTCCATTGGGGTTGAGAGGGCGTGTGGGCCAGTTTGAGTATGATCGGACAATGGTCAGACCCTTGGAATTTGAGATGCAAAACCCTGGCGTGGGGGAAGAATTCCCTCCATTGACCATCAGCACAAACCCGATCAAGTCTACATCGGACTGTATTCGGCACCTTTTGATTATTCGACCATGTGTACGGAAATCCTTCGAAGCCCAAGTCTGTGAGCCCGCAACATTCTAAGACCTCTCGAAATGCTCCAATATGACCTGGGGTTCGCGTATTGCCACCAATTTTCTCGGCATTCGAGAGTATCTCATTGAAATCTCCCCCGATCACCCATGGCAGGGTTCCAGCATCTCTAATATCTCGTATAAGCTGCCACGTTAAATATCGATGAGAGCTTTCAGGAAAACCATAAATGCCTGTAAATCTCCACTTCAAATTCAAGCGCTGATCCGTTACCACCACATCAATATGGTTCTGAGAGAAAGAAATAAGATCAACTAATAAATGTTTGTCCCATAACAGAGCTAGCCCACCCGATTTTCCGACTTTATCCACTGCAATCCCAAATAAATTCCATTTTCGCTTTAACCGTTCAATCACCTGTGGTGAAGCTCTCGTTTCTGAGAGAAACACCAGTTGGGGGTTATGTAGCCGGAGCAAGTGTCCGAGAGTATGAATTGTCAAGGGAACCCCCAACCCTTGACAATTCCAAAATAGGGAACTCATTGAGATCGGCGGGACTGCACCGCAGTCTCCGCCGTTGAGTTTACATCTTCATCACGTAGGGATAATTGCATCTTCTTGTTCAATCTGTCTTTCTCGGAATCCATTGGACCATCCGCTTTCTTTTTTCGGTTATTTTTCTGGACCGTTATCTGTTTACGAGGCAACGCAGCCCCGTATGGCATCGCATTGATCTCTATAACATTATCCACCAGCATTGAGCCATCTATAATTGCGGGCCTGATATTTTCACTCCCATCACTTTGCGAAGGTTGCACGTTGGAATTCACTTTGCAGCCTGAGAAACTAAATATATTTCCTCCTCTCAAGACTTCATTGTTCCCCATTGGGCTTTCCATTCGATTGGTGGGCAGAGGTTGTAAAGGTAACCTAGTGTGCTCTCCATCCCTCAGTGTTGAGGCCCGTAACCATGTGCCATACGGTAGATCCGTTCCTGGGTCAACAAAATTCTCTTCATATCGTGTCGGGCACCGGTTTTCTCCATGGCCTAGTACTCCACACAAGAAACAAAAATTTGGAAGTCGTTCGTAGGTAAACGAAATCCATGTCTTCGATCCGTCTACTGTATGGAGATACATCCCCCTTTTCAAACTTTTCATGACGTCGATTGTAACCTTCACTCTTATAAATTGAGCCGTCCTCAATTGATTTGCATTAAGAACTTCCACCGTGCTGCCAATTTTATTTCCCATTAGGGTTGCCACAAGAACTGACCTTTGGCCAATGGGAATATGATGTAGTCGCACAACAATCGGCATCCATATAATATCAGTCGTTGTTGGGTCAGAATTCTGATCTAATTCTTGAAGGAGCAGCGCATTCTTTTCCAGTATCCATGGGCACCCACTCTTTGCGTGCTTAAGATCTAGAGGATGTTCGAAGTAGATAACGAACCGATTGGGTCCGATAGGAGAGAATGAGCAGCCTTTCACCGGTTGTAGCAACCTCGTAACATTCGATTTTATTGTATGGAAGGAGATTTCTTTTGTTGTAACAATTCTGCCCACCAGTGACATACCTTGACCCGCAGCTCTAGGGTCCGTGAGAGTCTGAGTTACTACAATTCCATCTTCCTCCTCAAGCGTAAGAGAGAACTTCTGAGCCAGATTCTCCACAATACCATCCATCCTTTCACAGACGAGGTTGACTGGTGAAAAAGCACACTGAGCAGGGTTTCGACGGCGACGAGGCAAAAATCTGGAAGAAAGAAAACAAAGAAGGTACAAAGAGAACAAATAATAATAATAGACGAAAGGAGAGAAAACAATAGAAACGGAAGGGCATGAAACAAATAATAGCAGGACGGCACTAAGTGTAAGGCAAAACCTAACCCTAACCCTAATAACCTTGACAACTATAACCCACAAAAATAACGCACTACGATCGGATCTGCAAGATAAATCTACAGAAAAGAAAAAAACAAACAACTCTCAAAAGATAGAAGAAGAAGTTGATTGAATCTCTCTATTGCATAAACTCGAACAAATGCCTCTCACATAGGAGAGAAGACGCCTCTCATGGGAGAGAAAATTTGAAATTGTATTTATTATCTTCGTTTTAAATCTTGATATCTAAAAATTTTCCAACAACATATATATATTATTTCCAAAGTTAATATTTTATAAATTCGAAATAAAAAAAAATCTTATTTACATTTTCAGTATTTCAAAATATATTTACTGAAAAAAATTATGATACTCAATTTTTTTACGAATATTTAAATAACTTTCAGAAAAAACATTTTTTTTAATATTAAAATATTAAAATAAAGGAATACGGTTTATTTTTTTTTTAATTTTCAATATTTTGGAATATTCGAATATCCATTCAATAAAAAAAAATTGGGATATCTGTATAAAATGAATATATA